GTTATTGCCTTCACGAAGTTTTTGTAATGAAGTGTTTTTGCGATTTTTTTAGGTATTTGTTTAATTGTTTGTTTAATTGTTCAATTGTTCGCAAAAATTAGAGAAATCTCAATCATAATTCACCTTGTGAAGACAAGGAACAACTAACTCCAAGAAGGGCAGCCAAAAAACAGTGAAAATTAGGGAGAAAATGGCTAAACCAGCCTGGAAACAGCTGATCGCCGCGGCCGCGTCGCTACCCTTTGGCCGCCTCATAGTGCCCGGATGACGACTGTACCCTTTAATGCCCCGATTATCCAAAATCAGGCCAGTTTTTGACCGACTTTTTCTCCTGGGCCAGAATTGGCTAAAAATTGTTCCCTGGATCACTTTGGCCTCCTGAACATGGATGTCACATCCGCTTAGCCCGTAACCTCCTGGCGCCAGCAAGCGCCGGCGCCAAAACACTTCAAGTCACCAAATTCACTGTAAACTAGGCCATACAGGTAGTTTGGCCTCCCGAGCACGAATATCTCATCTGTATGGGGTGTTGAGAATGTATAAGATCGAGTTGGTGGCGGTACACGTGAGAGCGTGATCTGCTTCCGCTCGTCCGGACCCTTCCCCCGATATAGTGATCCCTTCCTCGGCTGAGGCTGAGTCTTAGTAAAGGGAAGGATCACTGCCACACGCAACCAGGCAAAGTGCTGCTTTCTTCACCCTTTGCCGTGCCCTGGCACACAGCTCCGCACGAAAGCGACTGGAGTCTGTGCTCTGCGCGCCGAAGTCGAAATAAGCATGTGATGAGCCGCTCGTCATGTATGCGTCAGGCGGTTTCCGACTGAATGGATGTGATATTCGTGTTCAGGAGGGCAAACTACCTCGGTTGAAAAGCTTGCAGCGATTTTGGCGATTCCGAGTATTTTGGCGCCGGCGCCTGTGGCGCGGGCGCCAGAAGATTTCACGCCAAGCGGATGCGATATTCGTGTTCAGGAGGTCAAACTACTCCAGGAATTAGCTTTTCGAGCTACTTCTGCCCACGAAGAAATAGTGTCAGCATGCCTTTAAGGGCACCCCTTCTGATCCGGTGAATAGTGGGTGAAAACCAATTGTGGAATGAAAGTCAATCAGAAGACCACAAAGGCTGTGAGCTCGCCTACTCGGTATTTGCGGGATGAGCCACGATCTGATATTTCGACTTGGATCAGTGAGCTTAGAATTCTGTGGATTCAGGATACAGAGGCGCCGAATGAACTGTTTCCTAATAATTTCGACGAAAAAATATGCGATGGTGAATTTCTTGCGCCATCCGAAAAATGTCACACAAAATCAAAGTTTTTAATTAGTGGGCCCGAGAGAAAAGTGAGGTGCCATTTGGAAGGGGAAAGTCTTCTAGATTCTGGTACCGTATTTCTTTTCTCAAGGCGTCACATGTGAAGAAAACTACGACTGTTGAAAGCAAGGAAACTCGTAACTGACACTGGAATGTCACAACGATGTCACAAAAGAGAAAGTTCCTTCAAATTAGGAGTTTGAATATATTCAACACATTCAATAACTAACCATCCCAAAGCTTCACAATGCTGCTCATATCTATTCAGAAGCTCCACTCCCAAAAAAAGTTATAAATATTCAGAGGAAAGTACTTTGAGAGCTCCTTTCTTATTCTACAACACATATCGCGAAAAAGCGCGCTCTAATGCAACAAAGAAGTACCCTTTAGATGCTCGCGCGCAAACTCCTAATGTGCGCGAGCAATCAAAATTTGAATACTCTATTCAACATCATCTGCTTTTTTTGCCTTTGGTGCCTTTTTTCGAGGAGGGGGGAGAGGGGCGTAGCGAGTTCTGCTTTCGGAGGGGGGTCGTATTTAGCAGAAACGTATCACAATGCGATGGCGTGCCCTGAAACCAAGTGCTCCAGTAATGGAACAGAATATTTTTCGGGATAGCAAGATATTCGGGAATGTAGCCTGAATGTCTATAATTTCTTCACAAGTGAAATATTTGGAAAAGAGGAAGAAATACTGTAAAGTGCTAGGCTCGTACCTTTTAAGTTGCATTGAAATAGCTTTGTATGTTTCCGCTCTGGAGAAATATCTTCGACGGGCTATTGTTGTGAAAATTTAAAATCACATGCAAATTTTTATGGATTGGGATTGTAACGTTTTTCACACGCTCTCGTTTGCAAAGAATAGAGCTATAGAAAAAATTTTGCTTTCTAAAATCACACCTTTTTGAAGGAGAATATAAAAAAAATGCAAAATGAACTCAAGGGTTGTTTAATTCGTGGCTTTGATAAGGAAGATTTGAAGACATTCGAATTCCGATTTTCCGTGTAGCAATTAAAAAAACTCATTCAGGAGCCTCAGTTTGGTCATAGTGCCTTAATAAGGTACCTAAATGAGTAAATGAGGTCGTTGAGTGAAAGGAGCAAACGATTCACCCAGCCTACAAAGACTGATAGTGCGCAATGCACTCGAGTTTCACTTCTACTTGCAGATGCAGTTGTATCGTGCTTCACCAACAGAACCGCTCGGCCGTGAGAAACAAGGTAGTCCTACTGATGGTAAGATAAAAAAGGTACATAAAATTGGCAAGGCTTCATCTGCACCGTTTTTCCCTATTTTCATCGTCTTCTCCGCAAATACATGTTTAGAAACAGGGTACAGCATAGGGATGTGTGACAGGGCGGGGTCAGTATGACTCCCCAAAGTTCCTCCTTTGGTACGACCCCTTGATGCGATTCTTCAACGATGCTGTTTCTCGCTGAGGAATCAGGTAATTTTAACTGAGAGTTGGGAGAGAAGGGTACTTCTCATTAACTCAGTCTACTTGTTGGGTTGCAAAACATTTGAAGGCATAATGCACGATAATTTGGTACTCCATCTAAAATGCTTGAGCAAGGTGCTACATAGTAGGAAGAT